CCCCAAAACCCCAAAACCCCAAAACCCCTTGAGGATTATTTCCGTTGAAATTTTATTGTTCCAGTCTGAACGGGGAAATAGACAAATAAGGGATGTGACTAGTAGAGCCCAGAACTGAGGTTGGGGATTTAGAGCAGTAGAGGGTGGGTTTGGGAGGGAGAGTGAGGGAAATGTTAGGGTGAGCAAGGGGTATGGGGAGGAGGGGTAGGTTTTAGAGGAGTAGGAAAGCTAGAGATTGAGAAGGAGTGCTTTTGAGGACTGGTTATTGAGTAAATTGTATCCGATGAATTGGAAGAAGGGTGGGAAAGAATTTAGAGGTCAGGAAGGGGTTAGTAAATTAGAATATTCACTTCACCAATGGAATATTCCTCTTTTGTTGGTGGTTTACAGAAAGAAAACACAGATTTTGTTTTTGAAAATCAAACTTCTCCGATGTCTAACTTGAGTTCTGGAGAAGCAATCCTCTCAATGAAGCCATGACAGTCCTCATCATCCTCTTCTTCCTGATCAATATCTGTTTTGATGAACATAAGATTTTCAATTGATAGATTTGTACTTGCCAATGGACTGAGATCTTTAGCTTCAATCTGGCAATTAATGAACTGAAGTTCTCTTACACTGTATCAAGACCCCACTATCCTTCAGAAAGTTGGATGATTTATCTTGAAACCTGCTATGGTGAAGTTCATAGCTTTAGTGCTTAATATGCTTCAGATATTCCTGATGTAGAATTTCAAATTACCTTTGACTTCTCTCTGAATGCCAAGGAATATATTACCTATCAAGGTTCACTTGAGGTTTTCCAGAAATCTTTTAAAAAGAAAATTCCTTCCTTTAATTCCAAAAGCATAGATTTTTAGGTTTTTAGCCGTAATATTTATTTTATGCAGATATTTTAGCTTGCTCGGATTTGAATTTGCACCTCAAGTGAAATAGAGATTATATATTAAAGGTTTCTCTTCAACAGACTCTATTCATTTATGAAAATAAGTTTCGATAATTTTTGTGTTAACACTTTGTTCATTTGATGCGATGTCTTTATCTATGATAATAATGGTTATTATTTTTTTAGTCTTAAACTCATTCATCACAAAGTCTGATAAATTGATATCTATTAATACATATATACCTTTCCCCTCTTGGCATAAAGATAGTCAATGAAAATCTAATGACTCTTCCATAACCTCCAAAATATCTTTCCCACTTTAACAAGAATGTTGAGCTATACCAGATATATTTCTCGCCCAACTCCCCCTGACTCCAAATTATCACCAATTTCCACAAACCCCCCAAAGAAAATATCATTTTCCTATCAATTTTCCCCTTTCTCCTCAAAAGCCCACCCCATCACCACCCTAATCCCTTGATACCCAATCTCCCCAATCCTCACATCACTCGACCCCATTCAGCCTCCACAATCTCCCCATCCATCTAACTTATCCTTCCAGTCCCACACAGAACAGGCCAAGTGTTCTATTCATACCTATTTTTATAAGTGCGTGGTCCTCTTCATGCAGAAGAGATTTAGAATCTTTAGGTGACTTTTGGATGTCCATATTGGGAATTGAGAGGAATATTATTATTAGTGGGCGATAAGGGGTTTTGGGGTTTTGGGGTTTTGGGGG